TTGCTGAGTTACAGGTATATTTATCAATTTGAATCTTAAGGATTAGTAATCCCTCAGCATTGATATTCACAAGTTTGTTTACTTTAAGTATTAACACAATACAGTCTCACCCGGTCCACTGTACTTACACAAAAAATTGATAACTTAAATACTGACCATAATTAATGGACATAAAGCTAGAAAGTAGTCAAAAGCTAAGCGCCAAATATAAGTTCACTCTGAAGTTACAGCGAACGAGGTTTACTAGGGTTGTGGTTAATATGCGATTAAATAACTAATTTGTGTTATATTTATGTTTAACACATTTAAGTTTTTAATTGTATCAAGCGAAGTTTATTGAATAATATTAGAAACTTTACGAAAACTTCTAATTAATGTCTCAAACCTATTGACAGTAACAGTAAGTCATTGAAAATAATTGCATTTAATTTGTATTCAACACTCAATTCATGCCTTAAATGGGTTTCAATTGATAGCAAAGTATTGTCTCATAAGTGGTGAGAGGAATGACCGCAAGAAGTAGTCATACAATGAATGCACAGAAAGTCTATCCGAAAGACAGTATCGACCGCTTCGGCGATGATTTGTGTGAAGTGCTGTTGAGTTACCTATCATTTGAGGACCGATTCCGATGTGAATGTCTGTCCAAACAGTGCCAGAGAGTGATATTCACCACACAATCGGAGTTATTATTAACTCATAAACTCTATGTTCAGCTCAAACTGTACTCAAAGTCCGCGGATTTAACACCATTTGAGTTAATATTGAAAAAGTGTGCAAACATTACATCGATTGTGAATTTAGTTAATTACAAGTTATACGACAATATGTTTGAACTAATTATCAAACACTGCAATCATTTGTATTTTATAGACTCAATACTCACTGACTATATAAGCGCTGAAAATATTAAGAAATTTTTCGGAAAGTTTGCCAAACAGTTGAAACATATTAACGGCTATCACATTGATATGTATCAGTACTATACCCCAAATAACCTGGATAATAATAATATTCATCGCTATTTGAATGAATGCATGAATTTGCATGAATTCAGTACTTTTCGTCGCATTCAAGAGCTATTCTCTGCTGAAAATCATGTGAAGTATGAAAAGTTAACTAAATTTCAACTAACCTGGGCTAATTGCCACCACTTATTATATGACATGTTTGCCAAACACTATAAGCATGGTTTGAAATCACTGGTGTTGACCATCTGGGACATGGAGTTAGAGTCGTATACCGCACTCATGTCTTGCTTGATACAAATGCAGGCATTAATTGATTTGAAAGTAGTTGAGAGTCATTTGGACGACGATATGATGGCATTAATGCCGCAGAAATTACGTGATATTGCCGTCAGTTTACCAAATCTTAAAGCATTTTCCCTTCAGTTATATCACGTAAACAATTGCATTGTATTGAATGAAATGAAACTATTATTTCGCGATTACTTCAAAGGATTGAAACGTTTGAAAATGAATACAGAATTATATGAATCACTCGATGAATGCAAACGATTAACACATTTAACACATTTAACACTATATTCTGAGTATAACCATATAAACTATATAATAAACGACAAATTTTTCGTGAATATCGACAAAAAGTTTCCTAAACTTCAATACCTATCCATTGATTACATTGACATCAATGAGAATATATTGAATTCATTGGCGAAACTGAGAAAATTAAAAAGCCTTACAATTAGGAAATGTAAACACAATTTGAGTGATAATTGTATTCACAGTCATATCACAGAATATTCTGTAGTTTATGACTGCAAACACAAGTCTGTGATCAGGCAAAGTTGCTTTCGAGAACCAGATTATGAGCTNAGCTATTTTTGTTTGATAACCAGGGTTAAGTTATATAAAAATATAAATAAAATCATTAATTGAATACAAAAACCATTGAATTATTTCATCCAAAAATTGGTCCAAAGACTACACTAGAAGTGATCGATAAGTACGTCAAAAGTTGTCCCAAATTTAACAAACTTTCATTTATGTAATCATTTCAATGCGTGATTAAACGCTAATTGTTATCTAGTTTACGGCACAGAATATTCTGTAAGCTTATAATTACAATCTAATACTGTGTGTGTAAACCAAATTGTACTGATAAATCTTATAATAAACATAAAATTTCAAAATCCTATTTATTTTGCAAGAATATTTACTTGATGTTCATTAATTCATTATTCATTAGTATAATAAAATACTATTTGTCGACAATTAGTACAGTATTTGTCGACAATTACGATAAAAATAGCAAAAAGGTTTTGACTGCCCGTTGGGGACGCGAACTGAGTTTCGTTTGAATTGATGTCAAAAACTAATCATTCATTCATTTGTTATGCAATTAATTGTTTGATGTTTTGAAAATAACGTGTATTTCGTGCAAAAAGTTGAGTCAATTTGTAGTGATTATAGCGATTGTGCGAAAAGTATTGAAACACATGTTTGTGTGACGAGTATTGACTGCACCTGAGGTTTGCATTGATTTTAGGTTTGAATTAAAATAAAAACTTTAATTATTTATTTAACTTTTCGTTTAGCTTTTTGTCTCAAATGTATTCAATGGATGGCAAAGAGGTGTCTCTCGACGACAAATTGAAAAAAAGATTGAAATTAATGAAGAAAATTAAATTAATTAATTAATGATCATTTGTGATATGTTTTGCTATTAACTAATATGTAACATTAATATCCTGTTTCATTAACTTTATGATTAGATTATTGTCAAATAAAATATTGATTTTCACTTTTGTTTAATAAAACATTCTATTTAAGCTGAAAATATAAATACAAATTAAATTAATTGTTTGCTTATGAAATAGGGTAAATAATAATACACTGTACGCATAGTTAAGTGTACGGTAAATACATTTTGTTATATTGTTTATATTCAAAATGCAAAACAGAATAGTTTTTATAAAGTCTTAAAAATGATCGAGGTATTTGCTTCATATGATATTTTAAAACCATTAATAATTTTAATGAAATTCTATGGTTTTAAACAACAAACGACTAATTATAATAAAATACATTTATTTGTGCTATACGCTATCCGGGTAATATTATTATCTATCATATTATTTGTCATTTATCGGCAATATGAACATGCTAAAACATCTCAAAACTATGCCACTAAACGACTAATTATAATAAAATACATTTATTTGTGCTATACGCTATCCGGGTAATATTATTATCTATCATATTATTTGTCATTTATCGGCAATATGAACATGCTAAAACATCTCAAAACTATGCCACTAGAATAGTCATGTTAACTAAAATTACGTTGGTGTTAATAATACTTAACACGCTCAAATGTGATGAAATTATCCTGGATACCAGTTTGTCAATCAGTCATACATGTTACATAAGATATCGTAATCGTACCAGTATACTTTTAGCATTAGTTATTGGACATATACTATCGCAAAGTGTACTAGATGCGCTTAAATTGTTTATTCACCAAAAGTTTGATAACCATTATGTACTAGCACAAAATGCCAACTTTTCAAAACCTCTAATTAGTCTAGCCGAGTACCTAGCTTATTTTTTATGCGTCCATTTTCCCATGTTTCTATCATGTATATTTTGTGTGGTGTATAGTCAGATTATATCTAGAATGTTTTATGAACTAAACCAGCAAATATTGGCTACCATGACCGAGTTGAATTTAAATGATATTTGCTATTTGAGGTTAATGCATTACAAAATAGCTAATCAAGCATCAAGATTGCAACTGGTTGTATCAAGATCACTGCTAGTTATATACATAATTTTAACCACTGACCTATGTCGATATACGTTTTATATTATGTATTTTATCAGGTTCCCTAGCAGATCTGGTAAGTTTTATATTATTACTAGTATGCTAATTATAATTATAATAATTTCAAAAAATTTTACTGGTAACAATTATCTAATAGCCAAAAACTTGTAGTATAAAAATTAGCGTATTTCAATGTTCAATGTACTTTTATAATTTCAGTCGATTGGTTTGATATGATTATGACAATAAATCATTTGGTATTCAACGCATTCATACACTTAGTGCTGATAATCAGTGCCTCCGATATAACCCGTAATTCGCTGCAAACCTACCACTCATTGACCACTCGATTGAATGTGTGTTGTGTTAACCCAAACCCGAACCGCACTTCCAGTGACTGTCGGACAAGCACTCAATTATCGTTACTATTGAATCACATCCACAACCACTCTATTAAACTGAACGCGTGTTCAATGTTTGGCATTAATTTGAAACTAATTTTGACCACAATTAGTATTATTATCACATATACTGTGGTATTCTTTGATTTAAATCACTAGTCCCTCTCCCTCTCCCTCTCCCTCTCCCTCTCCCTCTCC